TGCAGTGGTGCGATCTGAGCTCAGTGCAACCTTCGCCTCCCAGGTCCAAGTGATTCGCCTGCCTCAGCCTCTTGAGTAGCTGGCATTTTAGGCATGCACCACCATGCCTTGCTAATTTTTATATTCCTAGTAGAGATGGGGTTTCACCATGTTGGCCAGGCTGGTCTTGAACTCCTGATCTCAGGTGATCTGCCCACCTCAGCCTCCTGAGTAGCTGGGATTACAGGCGTGAGCCACCAGATTTCTTACATTCTTGAACACAGTAGCTCTATTCAAAATAGATTTAGATTTCCTGGATTTTTTTTTTCATAAATTTTATATCTTGTGAGTCCTTTTTGTGTTATGTTCCTCTTGAAATTAAAACAGTCATTAATATCTCTTATAGTCACGAATAGTATTGTGATTTGGCAATAGAGGTAACTCAGTGGTAATCAGGGAAAGATAATTGAGTCAGAAAGTTGACCTGTGGTTTAGTCAGTGATTGATCTCAAAGCCTGTCCCTAGAGTCCTCTAGGGTATCTGGTTTACATCTGCCATCTCTGCGGTTTCATTTGCCTCTAAGACTCTAAGACCACACGTTAACTCCACTGAGCAGGAAGACTTTGGGAGCCTAAAGCTCCAGTGTTTTTGTTGTAAATAAATGTCACTTACATTCCAGACAAACTAGATGCCGACTACATCAAGAGATACCTGGGCGATTTGACTCCGCTGCAGGAGAGCTGCCTCATTAGACTTCGCCAGTGGCTCCAGGAGACCCACAAGGGCAAAGTGAGTGTCGGTACCATGCCCAGTGTGCAGGGCCAGAGCTACGTGAAATCATGGAATCTCTTCCTGCTCATGGTCACCAAGAGTAATATTCCCAACTTCCACAGCTGGGAAGGTTTCTTCCAGTTTAGAAGTCATTGAATTTGTGTCTCTGTGGAATCTAAGTCCTTTATAGCAAGTGATGATTCATGACTAACTACATTTTTCTAGACTTTACAGAGCAAGGTCTGGCTACAGACAGTGTCACATCACAAAGCAGCATGTGTTCCAAGTATTCATACGTTCAAATTTTCAGGTGGTGTAAAAAGAGTTCAGAGATTTATCAGAGATTAGAAATGTTTGAGCTTTAATTTTCAGGTTTTTGGTGAAATTTTAGCCTCATAAGGGTGTAGATTTTTATGGTAAGCCTTTTGTAGTGAGCAGAGCCTGGTATGTATCTAGCAAGTTACTGGCATTATTTAGTAAAGGAAAACTAGGCGTGACTTGTAGTCGGCCTGATCTCTAATTCTGTCAGCCTGGTTACTGCAGAACAAATAACTGAGTGCCGTTGAATACCAGTCATCAAGAAAACCACTGCAGTAATGATGGCCGCCATTTGTTGTCTACTTACTGTGTATTACACACTGTTTTCAGGCCTTTATTCCGTCCTTCCAGCAGCTCTCTCTGGTGGTGTTTTTTCACTGGTTTTACACGTGAGGAAACTGGGGCAGAGAGAAGTGAAGTAACCTGCCTGAGGTCTCACAGCCAGCGAGTGGTGGGGTCAGGATTTAAGCCCAGGCCATTTTGTTCCAGAACCTACATTCTTAACCACTTCCACGTAAGTGTGGTCTTTTCTGAGTGAAGATGATGCCACATCAGTAGGCCACATGCTTTTGAGTTATTTCCCAGGAGTTGGGGTCATGAGTAGCTCATGTTCCCACCCCCTTCTTGTTCTCCTGATGGACCAGCCTCTGAGTTGGTAAGCACATGGCCACGGAGGAAGACACTTAGTCCACACAACACTCAGAACACGGCCTTGGTCTTGTTCTTCATTCAGGGAGGCCAACCTGTTGATTGACAGTAATGGAATCTGGAGAAGATTCCTATATGTTAGTCAGCAATACTGCCACACCATGAAAACCCAACATGCTTTTTTGTATTCTGACTTTTTCTGTGGTTTTTGTTTTTAATTATCTTAAGTCTTATGATCAGTCATAATTTTTAACTTTGTGTGTATCTCCTCTACTTTAATCTTTCTAATAAGTTGGCAAAAGCACCATTGCCAATCACATAGACACATGGTAGTTCTACAGTTTTATGTTTTTGAATTTTTTTTTTTTTAATACAGAGTCTTGCTCCATCACCCAGGCTGGTGCAGTCTTGGGTCACTACAACCTCTGCCTCCCAGGTTCAGGCTATTCTCTTGCTTGAGGCTCAGCCTCTTGAGAGCTGGGATTAGCTCTGCCACCATTCCTGGCTAAGTTTTGTATTTTTAGTAGAGAACAGGGTTTCACCGTATTGGCCAGGCTGGTCTCGAACTCCTGACCTCAAGTGATCCACCTGCCTTAACCTTCCAAAGTGCTGGGATTACAGGTGTGAGCCACTGGGCCCAGCCTCGAATGACTTTTTAAAGACAATGCTAAATTATGACTTAGTCTGACTTAAGTAGTAAAGAATTGAAAAGTGAAGTTTAACTTGCTACTATTTCTTGTCATACTGACTTTTAAAAGCATCTGACCTTATAGATTGTCTATAAAATGTGAGAACTGTTAAATATTCCTTATTCGATATTACACATAAACTACACTAAAATGCCTTTTAATAAGTAAAGGGAACCATTTTGGATACAGGAAATTCTAATTAGATTGGCATAGTTAAGGCCAGAAATATAAAGTAAATATTGCTGCTTTATCTTCAGCCTTTGCCTTTAAGAGGCAAATAAATAGAAAATACAGGTGAGTCTTGCTGGATTCTGAGGCAGTGAAGGGATTTCCTCGGTATTTAAATAGAGTCATATAGCCAGTTATGTAAACCCAGATATAACACCAATCTCCAGTAGGTTTTAAGATGGCATTTACGATCTTTGTGAAAGTTGAACATTACTAGTGAAGTCTAATCATGTCTTTAGAAGGGGAAAGCAGTGTAGCATTACTGAATCAGAATTATTAAAATTCAAAAAACCGAACATAGTCCTTTAACCACAAGCCAGCCTTAGTTAAATCAGGATTGCCCAACAAAAATATTCTGATGATCGTTCATGATCTGAATTCTGGTGTATGAGATCTATTGAATTATGATACACATTAAAAAGTCATGACATTTCTGTTTTCTAATAAAGCAGTGACCAATTACTACTCATTAGTAGCTTTTTTGAGATAAACTTTCAAGTCTGCCCTCTCTGTCGTCTTCTT